ACGAGGGAGACGCTGAGCAAAGCCACGGAGGACCTGGGCGGCGGGACCACGGCGCGTCTGGGCGGTGCCACCGCCCGCGTCCTCCGCGGCTTTGCTCCGCATCTCCCTGGTCTGCTGGGGGCCCCCCCTCCAGCAGACCAGGGAGACGCGGAGCAGCTTTTCTCACCCCGGAGCATGCGGGCGGTGGGACCGTGGCGCGTCTGGGCGGTCCCGCTGCCTGCATCCTCCGGGGCGAGGAAAGCCCCATTCGTAAGTACAGATCCGACGTAAGTCGGATCCACGTAACCCGGGGACTGCCTGTACATAAGAAAGGAATCCTAACCCAATTATTTAAAATTATAATTATGTTTTTGAAGTGTCAATTGGGCATATTGCTTCTACCTTAAGTCAGTGGACATCTTTTGAACTGGAGTACATAGTTAAAGTAGATGGTATACTAACAACATGAATAACTCTGCTGCATTCAGTTGATGGACTATATAGTAATATTTCAGTCGTGTGTGTTTTAGCTTTTTTCATCTGGTAGTGGACATCTGTTGATAGCAGTAGTGCAGTGTACTGCTACTGTGTTTTAATTCACAGCTCTGTCAGATATAGGGTGTGTGTTCTTGGGTTATTCACTGAAGCTTGCTGACCCTTAGTTTCACTGTATGTCACATTAATATAGCATCAACCAAATACCATGACATTTCATTAATATCTGAAAATTATGTTATGGTTTTTGGATGAAACTATAAAATTGGGAAATATTAATAGCATGCCTTCTCTCTCATAGGGTGTGTCTACACTACAGGGTTTTTTTTAAAAAAAGTAGCCTTTTTTAAAAAAAAACTTCACTTGCGTCTAGACTGCAGCCATGTTCTTTCAAAAGTAAATCAAAAGAACGCGGCAGTTTTTTCGATCTCAATAAACCTCATTTTACAAGGAATAATGCCTTGTTTTGAAAGTACTCTTTCGAAAAAAGACGTTATTGAATTCAAAGTGTGCTTTTTCGAAAGAGAGTGTTTAGACTCTCTTTTGAAAAAGCAGCTTGCTTTTTAGAAAAATCTGCTTGTAGTCTAGACGTTCTTTTTCAAAAGAGGCTTGTAGTCTAGACTTACCCAAAGAGAGGTGACAGACTACAACCCACAAACAAGCGCTTTCAACTACTACTTGATAATTTGTAAGAGCTTTGTAGTTATAGTTTCTTACATTTAGTTTCATTAGGCTCCCCTAATTTGAATGTTCAGCATATTTAGCATGACTCCTGCAAGTTTTTCATGGGATGGTAAACCTCAGATATCTGCTGAATATATTTTTCCTGTTACACTCTTTGTTAAATGAAAGTTTGTTGTAATGGTTGCCCATTAGAATAAGAAATTTTTTTACATGATTATATAGTAAGTGGATTATTAATTTGAATCACTAATTCAGGATCTTTATTTTAACAGGATTTAAAGGGCATCAGCATATTTGTATGATGAACATGTAATGTATGTGGAATTCATCAACACTACCTGTTTTTTTTTCACCAGATAGTCTATATGGGCTGGACCGAAGAACGGGAACAAGACTCCCTTCAGGACCGAATGTACACACCAAAGTTTCTAGCACTGAGGGGTTCCTCTCTTTACAAATTTATAGCACCTCCAGTAAGTATATTTTTCATATTTAGCAGGGAGAAGGGTGTTTAAAATCAGTGTAATCCCATACAATGAGTTCATGGGTTTTACCCTGTGACATGTGGGTCTCTGTCTACCAGGATGTATTATAGAATCATGAAAACATTATGGGGAATAGAAAGTTAAGGTGTTGTAAAGTAATTGTTTATCAAAGATATTAAGTACAGCTAGAAAACACCTTTCTGCCCACATAACTGGAGCACTTTAAAAGTTGGAAGGGAAGCACACTACTCTTTGCTTCTAGACATGGAAAGGTCAACCAGCCTGAAGCAAACTGGCTAGATTTGCTGAAGGCATGGGAAATATCAAAGTCTTCTGCATGCTGTGGAAATGATTTTACAGACATCTCAGTCTCTAGATTTCACCCTGAATACGACTTTTTATACTGTGTGTGTGAGCAGCAGAGGGTAGATAGGTAGTGGAAGGGGACAATGGGCAGAATAATATCTTTGGTTTAATTTGAATTTAACCAAGCTTTACATCTCTTACTCATGCTGAATAGTACTTCAGTTGGGCCTTAACTCAACAAAGCATTTAAGAGTTGTTGGTTTTTTTGTCTCTGTTCAGGAAAATATTTAAGGAGCACTAGTCTCATTACAGTAAACCAAAGGGTTAAGTGTTTTATTGGATAGGAATAGATGTAAGCATGTACTTTAAGATAAACACATGCAGTGTTGCCAGCTATGACAAGTTCATTACCAACAATCGGATATGGCCTCCTGGTCAGTGTCATGAAAATGTAACAAGCTTAATGATTAATTCAAATTTCAGCCCTGGCTTGGGGAAAACCTGCTCTGAGTGGCTGCTGTTTCTCCGGAGGCACGGAAGTGGGAAAGGCAGCAAATCAGGGCTGCTAGAGGAAGCAGACAAAGCTCTCCTCTCATCCCTCAGGAGCTAAGATGAGTTTTTGGTTACGGGTGGAGAGAGGAGAGAGCAGATAGAGTGCACCAGCTCAAGGAGGCTTTGATCCCTGTTTTCCCTTCCTTAATGCAAGTGTGGTGTAGATAAATGTGAGGCTGAGAGGGCAAAAGTTGATGGAGGAGCAGGGAGGATGCATAATGAATTGTTGGGATGGGGAGAGATGGAGGATGAGTTAGGGGTCAACCTTGCTGTGAGGCTTGAGAGTGCATCATTAATTGCTCAATCATGGAACAGGCAGATGAAGTTTTGAGGAAGCACAGAATTACTTAATTAGAATCTGGGGGTGGGGAGTTGGGAAAAGCTGCAAGATCCATAAAATTAAGCACCCATTGAGCACTCCTGCAGCAGGGTCCAAGATCATTTTGTTGTATGACTTTGGGAGAGTTGGCTACATTGTAAATGGTCACACGCACTGGGAGTGGGCAAGGGGAGTTAACAATTCAAAAGACAGACCAAAACCACAAGAGATGCTCATGATTTTTGAACTTTTGGAATTGGCTGTACTGCGTATGCGTAGGTGCTTTGATGAATCAGGACCTGAGTGAGAAGTGTCAATGATTTCAATGGGAATGCTCTCAGGCTTGAGGTTCTGAGAGGAGGCAGAGAGAAATTAAAGTTTGCAACCGAAGGAAAAGAAGGTAATTTCTCTATGAGCTGGGAGGGAAACAGGAAAAAAATGTTCATGTCCTGTAGAGTACAGTGAACCCTCGTTTATCGCGGTAGATAGGTTCCAAACCCGACCGCGATAGCTGAAAATCCGCGAAGTAGGGACACCATATTTACGTATTTATTTAACATGTATATTCAGACTTTTAAAACCCTCCCTTTATATGTCATATGTAATGCAATGAACCATCAGTAAGAGCAGATATTACTAATTATTAATGGAATTAACGAAATATTTGGGGTCTTCATATATCGCGGCTATTTTCGAAATTTCCGGAAAATCCGCGATATATTTCTTTTATAATATATACATACGTAATGAAAAAAGTCCGCGAAGTCGTGAATCCGCGATGGTCGAACCGCGAAGTAGCGAGGGCTCACTGTAGATTGATAGTTACCGCTCACTGTGAATAAGGGTGAATTTTTAATTATTTTTTGTTCAGATAAGATTCTAGTAAGATTTGTTCTTACTAATGCTGTGTACCACCTTACTCTATTAGTCCTACTGAGATCAATAGGACTGTTTTATGAAGCAGTTATGAAAAACTGCATTTTTTTTGCAGTGTAAAAATGAATGAAGTTGCTTTCTAAGCAGGGATGGTAATATTTTTATAAGGAGCTCTCCTAGAAAGCTTCTTTGGCATGTGATAAACTGTAATTTAGGGGTGCATGTATTTTCACAGAGTGAATTATTTGCTCTCTTTTCCCCTTCCTATTTGAATAGTAACACTTTCTCCTAACTATACTCAAAAAACACCTGTGGCACTTGCTTATCATCTTTGTTTTTCATAAGTTCTAAAAAATAGAACTGCTTCTTTAACTTTTGCTTTCTTGCTGCTTTTTTATATTTTAGAATTCTAAAGTGTGACAGGTCTGGTCACTTTGATTTTATATGGCCTTGGTTGGAAGACTCAGATCTAGATTTTTAGCTGTAAGTGATAAGAGGTGTGAGAAGTCTTTATCAAAGATATTTTTCCTACATCGTTTATAGGCATTTGCGTTAGATATATATTAACAAAACAGGAAAACAACAGTCTTTCAAAGCTTTTGGATCTGGTTGACTCTACAGTTACATTTTGTTTTGAATATTCCTTGTTCAGAATAAACTTTGCACTTTACAGGAATTTTCTCACTAGGAAGATGTCATCTTTTCCAAACCAGTCTTCCTTATAAGACTTACCTTTAGACTCAGCCCTGCATGGCGAGAGTCGAATTACATCTCAAGCATGCTCTAAGTCAGTTTCTTCTTTGGTCCGTAAGACAGTATTCTTGCATCTAGGCATCTGTACTGGCCAGTATTTTGGAGACGGTGGAGTTAGGGCTCCACCTATAACCCTCCTCTTGCTGAGATTGTAGAGTATCATTGTCATCCCCATGCTCATAGCTGGGATCTGAGGTGGTTCAGTTCAACAGCGTGTGCTTTATATGTCCTTATTCCCCTCTGTAACCAAGTAGGAGTTAATCACAAAGGGCACATCCACACTGAAAGGCTAAAGTCAAATTAACCTGTGCAACATCAACTATGTCAATTGAGTAACTTAAGTCAAAATAGCTTAACTTGGTTTTTGGCGCTGTCTACTCAGCAGGTAGTCCAAGGAAGAACACTCAAATGAGGGTTACCATGAGTCGGAGTAAGAAGTCCCTCACCTTACATCATTTCAAAATAATGACTAGTAGTGCAGACACCTACTATGTTATTTCAGAATAACATAAGTTATTCTGCTACAACACTGCTGTGTAGATGTACCCAAAGTGATTACATATTTTCATATAATTCCATATTTCTCACTTGTAGCACAATGTATCAAATGCAGTTTGACAGCTAACAGCATCTAACTGTTCTCATGTATGTGTATGCATGCTGAACTGTATTTATAGCATATTTGCTGTACAGTTTAACCAAACATAAAACATATGGACTTGACATGAGGAGAATGTCCATTCATATAAGTAGTCCCATTTATTTTATTGTGATTACTCATGTAAGGCTTAGGGCTATTTGTATGGGTAAATGTTTGCAGAATGGTAATTCATACCAGGAAAATGTTCCTTTATTTTTGTTCCGTGTGGACTTCTCTGATTGCCACCCATAAACCAAGACTTTAAATAGGCTACAGCCCAGATAAGAAGTTAATTATACTCTATGGGGTGCTAACACTCTTGTTCCTTACTAAATGTAATTAAGGCTATAAAAGAAAGGTTTAAAGGAAACAAATAAGGGCCAAATCCTCTTGTGTTTATACAAGCAAAGGTCCCTTTCATTGAAATGGAGTTTTTGTTTGAGTAAATACTTCAGGATTTGGATGGATATGATTGAATCTAAATAGCCTTTTTATCTTTTATTGTAACAAAAAGGAGGGGGCAACCTGCGTAATGTAGATGACTGCAAATAATTAGAACTCCATTAAAAGAGCAAGTACAATGCTTTAATCTGTTTGATCTTTTCATTACAGAATTTTATTTTTGTAAGGAATATGATTGGCCTGATGCTTCTCTTAGCTGAATTTTAATTATTTTATTCTATATGCTCAACAAGATTTAGTATGATTAGCACAATTGTCATGGAACTCCATAATCAAATTAACCATAAAGATAAGATTGTCATCCTTTAGCAGGTGTCATTTATGTACAAACAGATGCAAAATAGAAATGCAAATGATGCAAACAAACATTTTGCTGGTTTAATTGTTATCTTGAAGAAATCATTATAAATCAGTTAAACAAACCTGTACATCCTACAACATAAAAAGTGGGCAAACATTTCATAAAGTCCTAGATTATTATTACTCCTACTGTTCCCAACAATTGGACATTCTGTCATTCAAGTCTGTAGTTTCACTTAGATAAGGAATAAGTTTTCTTACGTATTTTAAAGGATATTTTTATTCTTGCATTTTGGAGACAAAAAACATTTGCTCTTTTATTTCTCCTGTTCTTGAATAGCAATAGCAATGATATTTCAACCATTTTCCTAGGATTCTGTTCCATAGTCCAATTTCTTTTACTGTTAGGAACTTTTTTCCTAATATATAACCTCAACTTGTCAGACAATTGTTTCTTATTCTTCTGTCTTCTGAGGCTATAAATAATTCCTTTTTTTTCTTCCTTCAGTTTCCTTGAAGGTATTTATAGAGGGTGGTCATATCTTTCTTGATTCTTCTCCAGACTATATAGTTGCTTTAGTTGCTTCTTTCTCTCCTTTCTAAGTCCTGTTCATTAACCTTTATATCATTTTTGGTCTTTTTTATAATCTGTAATGTTTCTGTGCAATGCAGTTTTTTAAAATTAGTACTTGTAAAAACACGTTTTATGTCCTGGGATAAACTTTTAGGTGGCCCAGAAGTATTTTTCAGAACTTAAGGTTTGAAAGGCTGCAAGACTAGACACTTAATATGAATGCCATTTTATGTCTGTTTTATCTCTTGTCTTACATTTTGATCGTAAACTCTTCAGGGTCAATCTTTTGTTAAGTGTTTATGTAACCCACTCACCTACTGGGTATGGTGTACCATCCCATCTAATGGCAATGAGACCACGTACACAGAGAATAACGAGTCTGCTCTATCGCCTTAGCTGATAGCTAGCTATTTCTTAGCTAATGTGCTAGAGGCTCGTTCACTAAGCTCCAAAAATCCCAGGTTCAGTTTCTCCTGTTGGTGTTACATCTGTACCCTGTTTAACGTAGTGCCATCCTGGTGTATGTTTGGAGGCCTTACCACAAGACAAATAATAAAAATAACACTACATGGGGCAGTATTCAACAGGCCTTTACATGTCTGCTCTGGGATAATGTGGTTTTTTTACATGTCCTGGGCAAAGATCTGTCAGGAGAACTCAGGGACTGCTGCATCAAGGCATCTGCAGCAGCCAGCAACGCTCCAATTGTGGCAGGGAGAAGATGGAGGTTTAGTGCTACATCACTTTCTGTCAGCCAACATACTGAGCTGGATCCTTCAGGAAAATGGGTTGCTTCATCTTCAAGGATGATGCTGCCTGAACAGAGTCCCACTGTGCCCCAGGATACTCAGGGAGGGCTCTTTGGACTCCTTGATGGGTAGTGTGCCTCCATGGCACTGCCTTGGCACCTAAGGCTAAATGTGTCACTATGGCCCATAATAACTGTTCTCTAAGGCAATTTGGTGTCTGTCTTCTGTGCATATTCAGTGTATAAATGATGGAAGAAGATACTTAGGATGGGATGAAATAGTTTATAAACTGTATCATTGAGAAAAAGAAAAATTACGTTGCTTATTGTATTTTTCTTTTTGTTTTTCCAAGGTCACCACATGGGATTGGACACGAGCTGAAAAAACATTTTCAGTTTATGAAATTATGTGCAAAATTCTCAAGGTATGGGGAACAAACGTAAAAAGTTTTGGAGGTGGCAGCTTTATTCTTTTCCTCTTTTTTCCTCATTAACCATCTCTCCTTTCTACCTTTTTTCCTCCCTTCCCTAGTAGATCACTCTTGAATGTCTTTCCAAATGATACAGATTTTTTTTCATCCTTCCTCTCATCTGAATGGCAGAAGCTAGGCTTTTATAAAGAGAAAATGTAGTTGAAGGGGAGGAGGGGTCACTAAGCTACCTTTCTTCTTGCCTAGCTCCTGAGGCTGGCTGGGGGCACAAATGGCTCTCTGCACAAGTTAGAATGATTCTACACATATCTAGTATATGCCAACTGGAACAGTCCCTTAGGAATCATTTGGCTGGCTTAGGAGCAACACCTTGCAGGCAGCTCTGGACATACCTTAACTTCCTGGCCTGACTCTCAACAGCATCTCTGTGCAGCAAGAAGGAATAGGTGATATTGTATATGCCATGCTGACTATAGCACCAGAGGATTTCCCCTAAGAGAGGGATTTTTCTCTTAGTTCTACATTTAACTTTTCTTTATGACACTGATGCAATGCAAAGGGAAGTAAATTTGGGCTGATGGCCTTGCCTACTTCCTACTCAAAATATTTCAACTACTGCATCAGAATACATTTAGAATTAACATTAAACTGGTGAGTGGTTGGAAGAGAGGAAGAGAAGGAGAGAAAATCTTCATTATATATTTACTACTAATATATAAATATTTCTTTGTTACCTGGAAGCTTTGGCTAGCTATTAAAATGGAAAACTGAGCCAGAGTAGATTCTTTAATTGAAATATTTGTTAAAGATAGTAAAATCACCTTATTCTTCCATTAATCTCCCCTTTTTTCCAGCCCTGCGCAGTGTGTGTCACTGAATCTGCCTCTTTTATGCCTAAATATAACCCCATTACAAATTATGCTGTTGGAGGTTATTCAGGATTTCTGTCAGCATCATAAATCTTGCTTCATTTTAGCAGTGCATGTTCTAGACATACTCCCTGGATGTGAGTTAAATAGATACCGCTAAGAAAAATGACTTGGTTATATTTATTCTCACATCCAAACGTCTTCCCTTCTAGAGTACATTGTGTGCTTCTTGTGTTATAAATTTGTTTTCCTTAAAGAATTAGTTTGAATGAGGGGGCAGGAATTCAGGTGTGAATGCAGTGTTTGTGCTATAAGGCTTCAGCCTAAGTTGCCTCTCTTATCTTTCAACCTGGGGAAAATCTTCTTCCTTCTGTGAAAGAAGAGGAATTCAACCACCCACTCAGCATTATACACTCTTCATGCCATCTTGCTTCTGTGTCAAGAAAGGGGTTGTAAATTGGGTAAACCAAAATGGGAAATGGGTGGCCTGGGAGCAAAAAATGCTCCAGCCACTGGGTCTCTAACTTCTATGAGGGTATGTCTACACTGCATTCCTCTTTCAAGAGAGGAATGCAAATGCAGGGGAGCAAAATTGCAAATGAAGCATGGATTTGAATTTCCCACACTTCATTTGAATAATTGTGTCCGAGCACTATTTTGAAATATCCTATTTCGAAAAAAGAAACGCTGTCTAGACACGGTTATTTCGAAAGAAAACCCTTCTTTCGAAATTACCCTTACTCCTTATAAAATGAGATTTAAGGGTAATTTCCAAAAAAGGGTTTTCTTTTGAAATAACCGCGTCTAGACAGCGTTTCTTTTTTTGAAATAGGATATTTCAAAATAGCGCCCGGATGCGATTATGCAAATGAAGTGCGGGAAATTCAAATCCATGCTTCATTTGCAATTTTGCTCAGCTGCATTTGCATTCCTCTCTCGAAAGAGGAATGTCGTGTAAACATACCCTGAGAGACCACTCCCCCACTCTATACCTTCTTATGATTATAGAGGCAGCTGAATCCTAGTCAGTAAGAACTGCTGGAAGCAGCACAGATCAGGACACCACTTCCCACGGCTCCCATTGGCCACAAACTATGATTTGCGGCCAACAGGAGCTTCAAGTGGCCGTACCTGCAGAGACGCAGTAAATAAAGTACCAGCAGCCCACCAGGGGATAACCCTGGTGAGTCATCTACAAATCTTACAAGCATGCTTTCCACTCCATTATACAAGTCATTAATGGACGTGTCCAATAGTACCAGATCTAGAACAGAACTCTGTGAGGAATTGTATGTCCCCAAGTTTGAAAACAAACCATTGATAACTACACTTTGAATAAAGTGGGGTTTTTTAATCTTTAATATTAATGTTTTACTCCCACTTTATAGAAATTAAAGCTAAACCACATTTCCCTTATTTGCTTATGAGGATGTAGGACTCTGTCAAAAGCTTTTCTGACGTCAGAAACTATCATAAAAATAGGGAAATAGAATGTAGATGGAGGTACTATAAGATGGGCACATAACTGGTTGGAAAACAAGTCTCAGGAAGTATTTATCAGGGGTTCACATCAAGCTAGAAAATTATATTGAGTGGGGCCCCACAGGGATTAGTTCTAGGTCCAGTTGTGTTCAATATCTTCATCAGTAATTGAGATAATGGCAGAAAGAGTACACTTACAAAATTTGTGGATGGTATCAGGCTGGAAGGGGTGGCAAGTGCTTTGGAGGATAGGAGCAAAATTCAAAATGATCTGGAAAAACTGAGAAAATGGTCTCAAGAAAAAAAGAGGAAATTGAAAACAAATGCAAAGTACTTCACTTAGGAAAGAACAATAATTTGCACACTTACAAAAGAGGAAATGACTACTTAGGAAGGAGTACTGCAAAATGGGATATTTGGGTCATAGTGGATCATAAGGTAAATATAAGTAACATTATAACACTGCTGCAAAAAAAGCAAACATCATTCTGGGATGTATAAGCTGGACTGTTATAAGCAAGACACAAGAAGTAATTATTCCATTCTACTCCAAGCTGATTAGCTCAATTAGAGTATTTGTTCCAGTTCTAGATGCAATATTTTAAGAAAGATGTGGACTAATCGGACAAAGTCAAGAGAAGAGTACCAAAAATGATTAAAGGTCTAGAAAATATGGCCTATGAGGGAAGAGAAAAAAAAGGGGGCTGTTTAATCTAGCAAAGAGAGAACAGAGAGTGGACATGATTACAGTTTTTATGTACATACAGGGTAGTTTCAAGAAGTAGGGAAAATTATTCTCTTTAACTTCCAAGGATAGCACAGGAAGCAATGCGCTTAAATTGCAGCAAAGGCAGTTTATGTGGAACATCAGGAAAAGGGTGGTTAAGTGCTGATATAAGTTATGTTTGAAGCTGCGGGATATCCATCATTGGAGATTTTTAAGAACAAATTAGAGAAAGACCTTTCAGGGAAGATCTAGATAATTTTTAATCCTGGCATGAGTGCAGTGACTGGACTAGATGACCTGTCAAGGTCCCTTCCATTCTTTCATTTGTATGACTCTGCGATTCTTTGTCTACTATTTCTTTCTACCCACTTGGCCTGTAACCCTTAAAAGAAGGAAATTAGGGAGGTTGATAGGTCTTCACACATGCTCAAACGGTTCTTAAAAATAATTGCTTATGCTTCTGGGATTGTTTCAGCTGGTTCCTTAAGTACCTTAGGGCAAATTGCATTAGACACTGCTGACATTAATACATTTAATTGAACTAAATGTTCTCTAGCCTTGTCTTTGCCTAATCTGTCTTGAGTTCCTTCTCTGTTATTTTTAATATTATGTTTATAGCCACTGTAAATACTTAAAACAACCATATTTTTCTAAGTACAGTGTATGGATTTTGAAGGTCATGACAATTTTTAGCAAAAAGTTCCTTTATTATCATAGACTTGTTTTATGATTTTCTCATTTAACATCTTTCGCCTTCAGATTTCTCAGAGGTGACACTATGCTTATTTTAACCAATCTTACAGCAACGTTGAGAGATTTAATCAAACAATGTTTCTACACTACTTTTAATACCACAAAAGAAAGTAGTGTAGAAACATAAATACCACAGATTTATACAAGTGTTTAACCCTAATTTTTCATGAACTATGTTCCACTTTGGAGATGTCATAGCAGAACTAAATTTATCAAATTCTTTGAGTCTGAATCAGATTATTTTATGCTTCAGGAGAGGCCCTACAAAAATATTTTACACCACAGTTCACTATAAGCACTTGCTCATGCTTAACTGAAAAAATGTTCATTTGTGTTAAGAACATGCTTAGTGCTTTGCTGAACAGAGATGGAGGTTTGCTTAGTACTCTTCAGAACAGGAGTCTTGATGCACTGAGCAAATTGTACATTGATCAGGGATGGAGGTTTCTCTTGTTAATTTCTGATACAAAATCATGAAGCTGGATGTTAATTGTCATGTTGTGGTTGACAAATTGTCATTAAATCACACTGGCTTTCATAGAAAATGTTCAGTCAGTCTCAGGGATGGGACAGCTTTTATGTGTTGGGAATTGGAGCTGCTATTGCCCAGTGCTCTCACTGCTTATGTCTCTACCAGTTGTTTCTAAATTAATGTTTTCTATTACCTGTGAAGCTCAGGGTGCAGCTTTGCAGCTCCAAAGGAATCGTGTTTTGCTATAAGTAAAATCATCCACACACTCACTTGCCCAGAAGTCCCAAAATGTGAAAAGAAATGATTAACTTTGGAAATCTACAGAAGACTTGACTCTCATGATGGCTATGATGAAGGTCCAACCTTATTCATTTCGCCTAACCGTGGGCAGTAATTTGATGATCTTTGCACTGTAGTATTTGAGGATTTGTTTATTTGCTAGTATTACCAAACACATGTATATGGAAATGTACATTTGAAGTCACTCACTTTAACTTACTTGACTGATATTTTTATAGCAGGCAATTCAGAATTTCAGTGATCGTATCAAACTTACGTAGCAAAGTCTCTGTTAAAATGAGTTGTCCTTTAAAAGTGTTTTCCTAGTGTGTTAGACCACAAAGCTGCAGTCACTGGTATACACATCATTTTTAGCTTTGAGTGATATACTAGTATTTTTTTCCCAATATAT